TCTCAATTTTTATGGGTTCAAACTAAAAGTATTGGAGTCCTCAAAATTTGAGTTCGATTAAACTTAGGTATTTCTTATAATTTACAGTGTAAAATTATTGACTGAATAGTGTAACAGCAAATTATTGAAATAGAAAAAAAAAACCCTTTTATGACAAAATTTATAATGACAAATCAATTGTTGATCATTTGATATAAAGACTAATAGCTTTTCATTAGATTTTTCTAGTATTTTCACATTAGCTTTTAATCTAATGACGATCTAGTAGAACAATTGCACAACATGTTGCCCACCGTAGAGGAAAAAAACGAGTGCCACAATCTGTTGCCGAACGCTTTCTTTGCCAATGACATCACTTTATCTTATCTAACAGTAAATTAAAACTTGTTTTAGTTTTCATTATTAATTTTTGGTTATTGACTATATCCTTCAGCTGGTACCATATTTAATTGATAATATCTCACCGATGTAACAAAAGTGTGTCCATGCTCAAATTAATCTACCATTTAAGTATTTTTCATTGATTGCGGGGGAAAAATGTTTATTTTGTTGCACAAATTGCATAAGTTTTTTAATCCGTTTTTTGTTTTCCAGTCGTTAGATTTGGAAATATTAATTTCTACGCAGTTAGTTGATGCTATGAATCTAAGATCTTTTTAGTATCAAAATAATTTGCTTTTCCTAACCATAAGGGCCCGATTATATAATTTAACTTAAATCAACTTTTATATCAAAGTAATTTAAGGACACTGAGGTGAACAATAAGATATATATAATTAAATGTACTTTTGTACTTTTGTACAAAGTAATTTTAGGACAATGAAATTTTGTCAAAATATATTGCCTTCCACTGTTGAGAAAGGTGGCCTGAATGTTTACACATTCATGAGCCCAAGTTGAACTCTTTATTGCCCTGTTGTTTGTCAATATATTCCTTTGTCTTTCCATAATTGTGGTTAACAGCATTAGAAAATTAAGTGGGCAAGGTTTGCAATTTCCCTCCATTCTCAAAAGCGAGGCTGACTTTGCCTCTCCCATTTGCAGCCAAACATTTTAGTCAGTAATAAGTCTTATGACATTTATATTAATATGTAATATTAAATTTTAATGGTTTTAAAATACTTTATGATATTGGAGGTTTACAAGCATTTGTTTTTTGGTTTTTTTTTTTCACTTATGCTTGTCAGAAGTATATAACACTTGCACTGTGATCACCTCAGGCTACCTGAAGAAGGTAAAAAAGCAACCTGCACAACTTTCGGCAATTCAGAGCTTCACATATTGTAAAGACACTCGTCTGTTATTAAGGTCTGTTTGTCTTTTAGGTTATTTTTGTTGGTTTGTTGTCACATTGACATATTCCCAACATCTTTTTTCATCTATAGTCCAGAAAAATTATATTCATTCAATGCCTGTGATATCACAATTTTAAATTCGACTGAAATGACATTTTTAATTTTTCTGCAATCCTACATAAACTTATGATTGTCTTTTGATTTCTAATTTTTGCATATTTAACTAGTAATGATACCATAGATCAATGGTTTTACCAACATTATAATATCTATAGATAAACCTAAATAGATTTAGTAATTATGTAATCATTTTACTGATTTTTTTTTATGAAAAATGAAGTTTGATATTTGATCGGAACTGACAATGTCCCTCCTTCTGACCGTAAAACTAGGTGTAACACTACAGACAATCTTTATCACTTTTTTTTCTCTGATAAAGAGAAAACAAAATTTGTCTTTAATAGCTTCACTTAAACAGGGAAAAATTGTTTAGTGGGAAAAAAAGTAGATGTGGGGTATATGTCAATGTGCAGTAACCCGACTACACAAATAATCAAAAGGCATCTAGAGGTCAAATACGGTATAGGTTTTTCTCATTGTTGAAGGCCGTACAGTTGCCTATAATTGCTTACATCCACTTTATTTGAACTTTGGTGGATAGTTGTCTTATTGGCAATCATACCTCATCTCCTTATTTTTATATTCTACAATAGACAGATATCTTTAACAATATATATATGACAAGCTCTTAAAAAAGTCTAAAAAAGTTGTGAATGAATTTAGCTGAAACGATTAAAGATCTAGTGTATTCCCCTATCCATATTGATTTGCATTGTTATCTGACAGAATACAACCAAATGTGGATAAAATGAGACAGCAACTAACAACCGAAAATTAGAAAAGACAACAAGGGGTCAAATCTGTTTAGTTTTTGAAAGTTCAGAAAGAGAAAAACAAAGAACTGTAATTATATTTTTTTGGGGTTGCTGTCTCGGAACTCTCGTTGATATTTACCCATATATATCCTTTAATTCATAAACATTTAGTAAAAATATAATTGTATAGGATACATAAACAAGTACACATGTACTCAAAGTCAGACTCAGTGTATCATTTGTATGGTGAAACCTGTATTAACACCACATCTTTAACAATGTAGGGATGTTAGATACACTTCAATGAGACAGCAACCCAATGATAAAACCAAGACATTTATGTGTCAACATTTAATTGTTTATTAAACAGGTATTGTTGCTTGATCTTTATTTTTATTTTTAGATATTTGTATCATTGTTCGTCTTTGCCTCTGCCCTTTAACTGAGTATTTCTTACTTTAAAATCTCATTCAACTTTGAAGTTTAAAATTAAATCCGAGGAGAAATCTAACATGCTGAGAGACAAAAATCTTTATTTTTATTTAAATTTTTTTTATTATTGTTTGTATTTTTGCCACTTCTTCTGTGGGTTACTTAAAATATCAGTCAAATTTAGAAGTTTAAATTTAAATCCAAGGAGAAATCTTACATGCTGAGAGACAAAAATATAATCATGAAATAAGACATCTCCTTTAGAACTAATAATAGCTTGATTAGAAAGTAAAAACTGACAACTTTTATAGCAAATGCCTTCATGCAGATAAGATAAAATTATCAAAATTATGATCGTTTATAATTGAAAGATTGAAAACTTAAGTGAAATATAAAAATGTTTATCATAGAGAAGTTTCATTGCTTGTTTTCCTTGGCAGATTTGAGATGAAATAGATGTTCCTTTGACCTGATGAATACTTAAAGGTTTTCTCCGATATTTTTATGTCATGTCTAGCAGTGTGAAATAATCTCTTACAATCTTTCTTCAATTTTTTTTTATTATTTCCTGTTACTATTTTTTTTATATATATCTGTCATAATCGTATCAGCAAGAAATTTTGGTTTAAATCATGTTTAGAGGAGAAGGTTTATTAATCTTAATAAAAAAAACTTTTAATATCTGCCGTGCCAAGCTCTGGTCAGGATGGGAAAGGTTACAGACAGATATTAAAAATTGTTTTAGCGATGATAACTTTGGACCTATACCTGCGGAGCTTTAGCAGATAAACAGTGAAAAATTACACATTACTGCGATAAAATATGAAATATTGTAATCATCTGACACAGATTTTGATGAGTGGTTGCCCATTTTTCTTTTCTGCAAGTAAAAATTTGTCAGTTAGTTACGTTGAAAGTCCACAAGATACACGTTAAGTGTTATTTTTGAATGATAACAGTTTCATTTCGTGTCTAAACTGGCTGGTCGGAAAGTGTTTGCTTTAGATACTGTCCTATCTCCCTCTCTGTGGGCTGCAGACGGAACATCCTTCACTGATAAAAATAAAAATTGGCCTTGGAAATCAAGGGGAGAAAACTCTGGTTTATTATTTTCTTAACCTTTTTGGTTTCTTTCAGTACATGATATTTAATCTGAATGTTCAGGAAGTTGTATGTGTAAACTGTCAAAATAATTCCTAGAAATTGTTTCAGTATCATTTTCCCCCTTTTAAGAGGTCAAGACTTTCAGTGAAGATAACTATTGAACAAATAGATTGTTTGCTGATATTTATGATAAGGAATAAAGTCAAGCTATTTACAACATAAGAAACTTGCTTTTTTTAAATGTTTCTTTATTTTCTTGTTTTTGTATGAGATATCAAATTAACCTCCCTATTTCTGGGTTTTAAAAAATGTTTTTTTTTTGTCCACTAATTAACAATGTAGACTCAAGGACGCTACTTTGCCTATCAGTACGAGGATTCAATGACTGTATAGAGGATATTTGACTTTCTATATATGAAATAAGGAAATAGAATTAGGAGTTAACAGGGAAGAAGATTGCTAAGAACAAATATTATCCAACACTTTCAGCTTTCAAAATGAAATTAGGGAGAAGCTTAGTAGTCATTTTACAACTTCCCTGCAGGTTAGGTGCATCTACTGTTCTCAGAAAACTCTTTGCTTCCATGTTAAAAACAGGTAGGTTTATATGTTAATATTTCTTTCTTTATACAAATAACATACGCCTTGCACTTTGGAAGCATAGTGTCCAAAAAACTGCATTAAAGTATTATCTGATGATTCTTAGAAAACTCTTTGCTTCCATGTTGAAGAAAGGAAGGTAAGTTTTTTTCTTTCTGTAGACAAATTACAAAAGCCATGCAGTTTTGTAAGCATAGTGTAAAAAAAAAACCTGACAATGTATACTGCTGAATAATTTATTTTTGTAGTGACTTAAAATTTGTATTTTATCAAATATTCAGATTCGTGGTTTACCACTTCCTGTAAAATCCAGTTGTAGAACATTTATATTTGTGGGTAACCAAAACCAACCAAATCCACTGTAATTGGTATCAATAATGAATACACAGTAAAAGAAATATGGGATGAATTTCAATGAGACAGCAACTTACCAACAAAAGTAAAAAGAAATACATATATAGTGGTTATTATATGTTATACAGGAAAGGACCATCACATTGTATATCATATTAATGCATGAGTTCTGAGATGTTGACTGTTAGATCTTCTTTTCTTTTTTGTATTGTTGGGATACTGTCTCATTGACATTTATACAACATCTTCTTTTATTAATACATTTACATGTGGCAAGGTTTGAAGAATTGCCTTAAGTTATGAAAATTAATTTTAACTTTGTGTTGTTTTATGTTTTCAGATATGGACGATAACTGGGACATTTCTAGTTTAAAGGAAGACGACTTTGAAGAATTTTGTGTTTACATTGTCCATGACAGAGCTTGTGAACGAGTCTGTCCAAACAGAGCCCAGGCATCACTTCCAAGGAATCTCACACTTAAACCTTCACAGAATAATGGGACAAATGTAAGTACAATATAGATAGTCCTCAGGTCCCCTCATATCATACCTCAGACTTCAGGAACTAAGACATCACTTCCAAGGAATCTCACACTTAAACCTTCACAGAATGATTGGACAAATGTAAGTACGATAAAGATAGTCCCTGGTCCCCTCATACCATACCTCAGACTTCAGGAACTAAGACATCACTTCCAAGGAATCTCCCATGTAAACTTTCACAGAATAATGGGACAAATGCTAGTACAATATAGATAGTTCCCAGTCCCTCATACCATTAGACCCCAGGCATTACTCCTAAATAACCCTGAATTCTTTTCTCTCAGAATAATGGGACTAAAATTAGCATGTTATAAATTGGTCCCTACAATCTCCTGACAACCATACAACAGACCTTAGTACTTTACTGGTAAGTAACCCTAAGAATCACAAAATGAAACTTCACAGAGTAAGTTATGTCAGCACTTAGATTTGAGACTTGTAGTTTTTATGGAAGTTCTTTCAAATGAGGATCTTCATGGGGTTGTTTTCTGAAATGATTTAAGGCAATTTTTATCTTTTCTTACATATTATTCTCTATTCTTTATATTTCAGCACCCCATTATTATCTGTTCTATAATTTTTAGCCCATTATTCTTGTTTTGTAAACCCCCATCTAGATCCTCTTATATTAGTGAAAGTGAGAAGTTAAAAACCTTGATTGATATCTGTAAAATAACACTTCAGGACTGTTCAATTTCCTGAAAAGTTTAGGAAACTGCAATGTTAACGTAGTTTATAAAGTGGTTTAATTTTTTTGTCAAATTGAATTCCGTTTTGCTGTAATAGTTAATTAACAAATACTTAGAAAGGTTTAAAAGTTTTGATTATATTGTATAAAATAGAAAAAATGTGAAATGTTGAAAATAAATCCTAAGATTATAAAATCAAAGATAACATCTAGATCATTTCGAAATAAAAAGATTGGAACTATTTCAATTTTTCAAAATTAAATTAATTTCTATTGGTATTTTTTAAGTAAATCATAAACCGTTTTATCAATATTAATTATGCAAATTCAGAAAGAGAAGATTTAACATTTTTTCAATAAAGAAAGTACAAATGAAGAAGCCATTTAAAAATAAGAAGCCACAAAACTGAGGAAAGATAAGAAGAAAAAGTGTTTTGACAATAATTATCTCCCCTATCAGTGTTAATCAGTGAACTTCAAAGACTTTTACTAAATGTTAAAACAGCAACTCACTTGTTTTAAATATTTAAAATTAGATCAATTTGATTGGGTTATCAGAGATTTTGGGATATAAGATTTGATTTTGTTATCTGGTATATTTCATTGTAAAGAGACAGTAAAGGTCATAAGGTATGTGTATGAGATATGTTATTTTGATTTTTTTGCTGATTTTTTGATATTTTTTTACAATTTTTTTGGCAAATGACAGATTTATAGGAAGTGATTTTTTTAGATTAAAGATTTTCTGGTTTATATCAGGAATTATTTATAAATTTTAATAGACTTATATTAATAGAGAAATGAGATAATCTGTATGGAAATGAAACTGTGTTTGTTATTTTTAGATTTTTTTTTAATTGATTTTGTTAATTGTTTTTTCCTGCATTGATAAGCCTTTAATGCATCTTTGATCTGGAATTAACAAATTCCATTAGATATTTGAAACTTGTTGAATTGGTGGGCTGTTGGAGAGGAGAACAATGCATTGTTGCAAAAAACTATTTTACATGAAATAAGACGATTCTCAATTTTGCAAAATACCACAATAAAGCCATTTTAATGAAAAGAAGTAAAATGTTGCACCTTTTAAACTTTTTTTAATGTCTTTCCATACTAATGTCAAAAATGTTACCTAAGGTATAAAAACCTCTTATTTTTTAATGTTGAAATTTTGCATAGTCACAAGAATCAAATAAGAGTGAAATATATATTTCATGTAACGCTTACTTAGATACACAAATGTATAATCTATTGATTTAGTTAAAACAAAGCCGATATGTGTTTAATAACAAAATTGATTTATGAAAGAGAGATTAAGATTTTGAACAGCGTGACAGTTGTCAGCCCCATTTCTGATTCTAACGCCTAGGAATTGTGCTATTTAGATCAGAGTAGTCGATGGCTGCTTGGCCCTCTGTAAACTGATTGGTCTAAGTAGTTCATCTGCAGTGATCACTTGATGGTCAAAACTGAGGTTGTGAGTTCAAACCTTGCTCGTGGCAGGTGTGTTAGACTGGAATTGCCAAAGGTTGGTGCTTTTTTTCCTAGCACTCTTGCTTCCTCCACAAACAAAAATTGGTAGCCACTACAAAGCCAAAAGGGCTGAAAGTGGTTTAAAACACCAAGAATCAATTCATCTATGGCTGCATGGTTTTGTCTTGGACAAGCAGACCTCTTATATTTAGAGCAGGAAACCTTTTTTTATAAAAAAATTCGGAATAAGATATTAAATGAGTTATCTCCCCTTATAAAATTGGTTTCATTGCAATGTTTTTATATATTTACCCTTTTTTGATATTTTTTTTATTGTTACAAGGTTATCAATTTCAACCAGAATTGGAGTTAACATAATCAAAGACCAGTTCCTTCCATGATATTGAAAAATTATGAGGAAAAATAACATCAGTTTTTATATGATTATTTAATTTTACATTCATTTCAAAATAAAAAGTAGAAAATTGACAGTTTTTGGGAAATTATTGAGGGACACAAGGTGCTTAAGAGAGAGCCTTTCATAGCCAAACTATAAGTCATCTTTGAGGAGTCTTAAAGGAAGTATTGGGAGGTGTACAATGTATGTAATTACCTACTTATTCATTAGGCATCCTGTAATTCGATTAAATTGATTTCAACCTGGTTTATATTATGATGTTCTTTTCCTCATATATATATTTTCCACTAGATTTATTCAGACAAGAGAAATGATTCCACCGTATTTTTGATTTTGGACATACACTAGTATAAGACAATTTTTAGGTAGTTGTAAATTACTGTAGTATATTTTGGACATACACTAGTATAAGACAATTTTTAGGTAGTTGTAGATGACTGTAGTACTTCATCAGGATTAGTTAATTTCAATATTTACTCTAATAAATGTATACTGTTTACAGAAAATGGACACTATTCTGATATTATTTCTTTTCCCCTTTTCGCAAATAAAAGGTGTTTGAAAGTTCATGTTAGTCAACCCAGCATGCCATCCCTATTAAATCTTGACGTTTCTTATAGCACGTCCTTAAATGGCTTTTTTCTAGTATTTAAACGTTTTCATCGATTAAGAGAGAAAAATCAACTTTCGTTTAACATTGTAATGAGACTTTATATGTAATGATAGCACTGTTATTAGATGGGTGTGAATAATTTATCAACGTCTTATAATTACAGAGGAGAACATTAAAAAGGAACAAAAAAGTATCGGAATTTCATGGGAAAGTTTTTTTGTCACTATTTGAAGATTTAAATTTCATAAAGAAAACTTGTTACATAATATTAGTATACGAATAAGATCTCAATTTGTTATGCGTCTTTTTGTTCATTCTGTCTTTTGTTACATTGAAACTTTCTGAGTTATCTCCCCTAGAAAAAAACTATCTTTGGTCAAAAAAGCTATTTTTTTTACAAATAAATTATTTATGGTATTTTTTTTACAGTGGATTAAGTGAGGTTATCTTGCAGAAGGTTGATTGTTCTCTCCAGGTACTTCGACTTCATACACTCTTAAAAACTGTCCTACATGATTGCAAAGGTCATTAAAGTGGCATTAAACACAGACAAACAAACAAGCAAACAAAAGTCAAGTCAGGTCTATAAATAAGTGGGTGGCTTGGGAAGGGGTGGGGTTCTGTAAAAAGGCAGGGAATCCCTTTTATCACAAAATTAGGTGTATATATATATAGGGTAGTGAAGTTATATCCAAAAAAAAGTAAAATAACTCCCTGTTTATAAAATTCTTGTTTAGCTGATAGTTTGTCGGTTGCCACATGTGGAGCAGGATCTGCTTACCCTTCCGGAGCACCCTGAGTTTTTGGTGAGGTTCGTGTTGCTCAGTCTTTAGTTTTCTGTGTTGTGTTTTAAGTACTGTTGTATGTCTATCAGTCTTTTTCTTTTTTAGCCATGGCGTTGTCAGTTTATTTTCGACTTATGAGTTTGAATGTCCCTTTGGTATCTTTCGCCTCTCTTTGACATAAAAAGTAGAATAACAAAAATACAGAACTCCAAGGAAAATTAAAAACAGATATTCCTTTATCAAATGGCAAAATCAAAAGATCTAACACATCAAACGAATGGAAAACAACTGTCATATTCCTGACTTGGTACATTAATTAGTTCAACTAATTATTCTTCTAATAAATTCTCTACGATTTATTTAAAATGACTTTCCATAGATAAGACCAGCATGACATACCCTCTTAATGCTGAGATTTGGAGGAACAAAATTTTTAACATATAACTAAACACACTTCAGAAGTGAAGTACTTGTTGAAAAAATTACTTTAATCCAGTTTTAAGATTTTGGCAGTTTATTTAAATATCTAAGAAGATGTACTTGTGAAGAAAGTATATTTTGATCTACTTCAAAATATTTCAAACAGTCGGAAGAGATTCTTATAATTTTTAGTGGGTAGAAACTAAACTTGTACACTTACATTGAAATCTTTTACTAAATGACATGAAAGTAAAAATTTAAATTACTATGGCTGCTTTTATTTTTGTGGATACCAATACTTATTTTCATGGATTGGGGAAATAAAAAATTTTTTTTTGGATTCTTGTTTTCTTGGTTTTCATAAATTTGTTTCACCAATTTTTACCCTTGAAATCCATGTCAATTTGAACTTAATTGAATAATATTGAATCCACAGTATGCAAAAATGACCTAATTTTACAATCAAATCTATTTCCTGGTATTTCCCAATTAGCAGCTCACTTAATTTGGTTTTTTTTTACTACAAAAAGACGATTTTTTATGGCATTTATAAACTAAAGTTGGTTC